GTCCACAGTATATCCCGTAATCGCAACTCATAACCTAAAACCTAAAAAAAATCACAACTCAGTCCAATCTCCATCTCTCACTCTCTACGGCGAAATCCGTCCCATCTCCGAAGATTTCCGTCCCCATCTCCGGCGAAATTCCTTACAACCATTCACGGTCAGAAATCACTCACAATCATTCAGAAATGGAAAATCAACCTCCGATTGTTAGTTTTTTTAATTATTTTTATTTTGAAAATTTTACATTATTTTAGGTTTTTCATATTAAAATTGATGATAAGTTTACTGGTAATTTCAATAATAGATTACAATTTCACTTAGATTTCTTATTAAATTCATTCGATTGCTGCCAATACTGCTAAACTGTTTAGTCTTTAACCCTGTGAAGTTAGTATTTATCTTTGTTTTGTCTTTTGGTTGAAGTAATGCAATCCATTAAAGTTTCAATTTGCAGAAGAATAATAATTTCTAAACTTAAAATCGCAACATGAAAATGAAAATCGCAACACGAAAATGACTATCGCAACGAGAGAAATGAAAATCGCAACGAGATAGTCATTTCGCATTGCGATTCTCTCGTTGCGATTTTCATTTCGCATTGCGATAGTCATTTCCGCGTTGTGATTTTCACGTTGCAATTTTCATTTCACATTGCGATTCTCTCGTTGCGATAGTAATTTCCGCGTTGCGATAGACATTAAGATGATTACGAACGTCATTTCCGTGTTGCGATAGTCAAATGAATGCCTACTAAGTGATAACAACTGAACATATCATAACAATTTTCAAACTCAAGTTACTAATACATGCCTAACTGAAAATGTTAAAAGTTCACACATAAAATCCACATAATACAACGTTTGCATTTAAAAATCACCTAAGTTAACAGTCCCAAAAGGTGAAGCCGGTTGTGATTGGGATTTTAAAGATGATTACGATTTTGATTGCCTTTTGCTTGACACCATATGAGCTTTGAATTTTGATGAGGATCCATATTTTGGTAGATGAAAAGATGATTGCGATGGCACTGGTGATCCACATGTCAACCTTGTATGACCACTTTCCTTGCACCGACTACATATCGATCTCTTCTTCTCTTCACCCTTAGACGGTATACGATCATGACTTTTTGGTCGGCCATGTAGCCTTCTGTCCATGGCTGGTGGCAAAACTGTTTGCAAGTCATCTGGTATGTCCCACTCAAAAGGATGTGGAATAGGGTAGACAATCTCGCCATAAGTCTGTCGATATACTTCTGTAGTGTAGCAATCCATAGCGTATGCGCTTGAATCATCTTGGTTTAGATGAAGAGAAACTTTTATAATATGGCCACACGGATAACCAGATGTTTGCCATTTCATACAACTACACGTCTTTGCATTTATATCGACAAGCCCATTTAAGTTATTATCCAGTACTTCAAACAAAGTGTTTGAACATGGTTCAACTCTCCATGACGTTGACTTCACAACACACGTTTCGTTATCTTTTTTTTTCTGTCCATGGTGTAACACGATGTTCCAATGTTCCTGTAAATTTAAATAAATAATACTTAGTAAAATATATGATAAGTTACGAATTTAAAGAAATAATACATGCATGGTTTCTTTTCTTGTAGTACCATTGTTGAATAGAGGCTCGAAAAAACTCCATTAACATAGTAATGGGTAATTTCCGGGAATGACGACTTAGAGAGTTGATTGATTCTGCACTATTAGACGTCATGAAACCATATCTTGCTCCAAGTTGATGTACTCTTGACCATCTTTCAAATCCGACATCTTCTAGTGTTTGAGCACACTGAGGCAAAACACGTCTTAAACAATTTATATGCTTATTAAAATCCACTTCCCGATAAGCTTTTACAGCCTTCCAGTATGTCCATTTGTGATTTTTTATACCAACAGACCTTGATTTTAGATTTCTATACAAATGAACACCACAAAGTCCATGAAAAGCATCTGGGAAACACCTTCTAACAGCGTTGTCAATTGAGTTTGCCCTATCGGATATGATTGTCAGATTGCTAATAGGACCTATACAATCCCTAAGATGCCCCATAAATCATGTCCATGAATCAGAGGTTTCAGATTTGCCAACCCCGTAAGCTATTGGCAGTATCCCATTGTTAGCATCCATGGCTACTGCTAATAAGTTTACTCCAAGGTATCGACCTTTTAAATGTGCTCCGTCAACTATAATAACTGGGTGCATGCAATTAATAAACGAACGAATCTACAAAATCATATACACAAGAAATATAATCATTTAAATGTGAAATGCATGTAACTAACAAAAATGAGTCAACAAAATTATATTGATTTACTAACCGCAGCACCAATGGCGATAAACAGCAACTCAAAGCGTCCATCTCTATATATTTTGATATGAGTTACCGACCCAGGATTTTTCAGCTTTAAATTGTGACAATAAGTCGGCAGTTGGGCAAATGATGCTTCTGGCGACCCCTTCAACAATTCCAAGGCATAACATTTGGCTCTCCAAGCTTGAGAATATGAGATACTAATCTTGAACCGAGCATTCATGTCAGTCATAATTTCATGTCCCCGATATACCCTACCATTCAAAAACATTAACTCAGCCAGAAAACCACCCAACACCTTTTTGTTTGCCTGTCTATGGTGAGGAAAAACTTGGGTTCTTGAACATGTATGTTTATCAATAAAAGTCCTAACTTGAAACATTTCGCAATCTTTTATCCTCTTTGCAATCATACGCCGCATACAGTTTTTGTCAATCATACACCTTGTTTCGAAACGATCTTTGCTTGATTTGTTAACTTTTAGTTGATAGACATCTTCCACACATTTCGTATACAAAACTATCTTCAAGTCTTCATTTGTATCAAAACAATCATCTTTCTTGATACGAATAATTTTTGTGTAACAATCAACTGCTATCTTTACCAACTCTTCTTCCGGTATCTGAAGTAATTCTGGCATATTCCAGTTATACTCCCGTAGCATTTTCTTCGGGGACTTTTCTTTGGGGATTTCTTCTTCTTCTTTTTCTTCTTCAGTGTTATATGAATTACAGAATGGATGTTCAACATGTTCATTTATAGTCATAACTTCCTCCTCATTATCATCAACAACATCTTCCTCGGCAACGGCTGTTTCATCATCAAAATTCAGGTATTGACCAATATCAAAATCATTACATGCATGGTTTGTTTCTTCTTCTGAAAAATCATCAAAATCCGAGTATTGACCAAGATCAAAGTCCGGGTATTGACCAAGATCAAATTTCGAATACTGACTAGTACTCACAATTTTTTCTGTTGGCTCATCATCGTCTAACTGGTCAATACGAAAACCGGAATTTGGTGCTGAAAGTTGATTGAGATTTGGATTAGGGAAATGTTGTGGGTTTTGAGATTGTGTTTGGTATTGGAAATGTGGTGAAACAATATTTGCTTGGTGATGAAATTGTGGTGGAACCATTAAATTTTGAGTACCATAAACTGGGGTTGAAAAACTTAGTTGATTGCTACCCGCTACTGACCCAACTTCACTACTTCTAGGTTTAACAACATACAATGTGACATCATCACTTGAAACACTAATGTAAGCAATGAATCGTTCAACATCTTCATTATCGGTTAACAAATAAACTTTACAATTTCTCTGATAAGATAGCCTAAATCCACTTAGGGGCTCTAAATTCAATTTATTTGCAACACGTAATATTAGAGTTTCATAAGTTAACTTTTTTAATGACAGTTTTAGTTGAAGATTCATGGGTAAAGGCATATATTGTAAAATACCATGAACATTCTCCCATGACCCTCCAAAACACAAATTTATCCAAACATGATCAACATTAGATGATTTCATTATTGTAAATTAATTTACTAAACAAACGAGCTGCGAAACTAAAACTTGTTGCCGGATGGGGAAGGATGTCGTTGGATATAGGAACGGATGTCGCCGGAGAGAGTGATAGATGGAGATGAAATGAGTTGCGATTTAGGGATTTAGGTTATGAGTTGCTGCTGCTGCGTAGTTATATACTCAAAACATTTGTGTTGCGAAATTAAAACATGTTGCGAATTCAGAAATCGAGTTGCGAATTTGAAATTCAGTATTGCGATAGTCAGAATCTCGTTGCGATTTACAGATTCGCATTGCGATTTACGTATTCGCATTGCGATTTACGTATTCGAATTGCGATTTACTGATACGCATTGCGATTTACGTATTCTCGTTGCGATTTCCGCGTTGCGATTTACGTATTCTCGTTGCGATTTACGGATACGCGTTGCGATTTTACGGATACTTGTTGCGATAGTCAGAATCGCGTTGCGATTTATATTTTCGCGTTGCGATTTTCATATTCGCGTTGCGATTCTGGAGATCGCGTTGCGATTTTTATTTCGCATTGCGATTTTGTTGGTCATTTTGACAAATCCAAAAAAAGTTGGTTAAAATCATATATTATAAGACATTTTTTGTCACTGAGGTTATTTTCTCTTTAGGAAATTTACATGTTAATTATTTAATTTATCAATTTATAATTTTCAATCAAGACGTTAAATATTGATAATATAATACATCAATTTTAAGATACAGTATTTTACCAAAAAATTTAATATTTTCTTAAAATTTATGGATCAAATTAAAAATAAATCTCTTTTACAAATATTTCATATTATTAAACTAACAACATTTAATATCTCATACTTAAAATTTTATAAATCATTCACGTAAATCAATAGTATATGTGACCAAAATATTGTTTTTTTAAAAAAATTGAAAGTGACCATTTACCTTTTATGATGTTTAATAAAGAGGTGAACTGAATGACAATTATGTCGGATTTAAAGAATTAAAAACCCGCTACTATACTAATCAACTTTGATTTTTTTTATCAGAACAAATCTCACAAGGCAGAGGGCAAACCTTGCAGCAACTCAAGCTAGATTATGTCGCATCAAAATTTCAATAGATTTTAAGCTAAAATGAAGATCGAGAAGGAAATGTTCGAAGCCAATTGAACCGTAAACATTAATAATTCGTTGATTATGGAATCTACTTAAGCAGAGGACAAATGCCGTCCCAATCAACCCCGACCCCGATATAAGATCATTAAAACTGCCCATGATTTTCCACTGACCTCTAAAGCCAGCACACAAAACAGAAAAGGTAAATTCATTCAAGAACAACAGCTCGAGCACACCTGCATTTGTACCTTTCAGATCCGGTTCACCTTATCGGCTTTAACAACTGGATTTGCTTTGGCAATGGCATCACGTCCAGCACCCTTAAAATCAAAGGAGCACTCATGTTTTTCCGGGTAACGGTGCTCACCACAGAAGGTACTCTCGCACCTGCACTTGAATCCAGTCAATCCAACCTTCTTTCTGCAGATAAAGCACCTGTTTGCCAGCTTCAGCTCAGCAGGTTCATCAGCAGCGATAGCAACAGCCGCTTGTTGCTCAACGGCTGTAGATGAGGACACATGAGATGGCTCCTCGACATGCTTAAATGCCTCCGCAACCACTTCTTCCAGCTTCATTTCGACACCAAGAGATTTCTCCATGACAGCTTTCGCCTTGGCAGCTTGCTCCTCCCCAGCCCGGAGGTTACAATAACACTTGGAGCAGAGGTTCATATTTGACGCTGTGCCAAAAAACCCACAGCCGTTGACACAAAGCTTTGGCTCGGACGGAGAAAAGCTGGTTCCTTCATTCTGTTCAGATCCCATGGTTTCTTTTTCGTTGTCCTTCTGTGCAAATGTACTTTGGACTCTACAATCAAAGATGTGATAGACAGGATAAGGGTCTACTTCTTGATTTTCACAGAGAATTAGAAAGAATCGAACTTAAATTACTCCAGCGAGATTAGGCCGGCCAACGATACAGATACATACAGACATATATTGATTGTTTTCCTGACAGCTTGATTAGCTCAAGGCTCGAGCTCAAGAATTAGCCGAACATATATTTTTTACTTTTTTGTTTAAAACCTAATTTAATGCAAAGGAACTTAATTTCATCTTTCAAACGCCCAATTACACGAAAACCCCAACAACAATATGAGATTTCCTGAAGAATATTCTAAATAAAATCCAATCGATCTCCTAAATTAACACATAGAAAAGCCAATTTAATATAAGCAGTCCACCGGAATTAATCGAACAGCCACCGGTAATTACGAGTCAAAGAGTATAAAAAAGGGGAAAACCTAAAATTTCTTCAATCGACGAACACGAAACCTAGAAAAGGAAAACTCCCTAAATAAAACCCGTACAACATACCGTGTTGATTGCGATAACCGGAGATTATTCGTATTCTTTTTTAGGTCGGTGTCAAACGATGAGAAAGAGAAACCAGGAATTTCGCAGACGATGATAAGCTCTCTATTATTTGAGAGATAAATATGATCGAATTAAAGAAAAAAATCAGAGAAGGGTTATTGAGAAATTATTTATATAGGAAAAGTAGTAAAATTGTTTTTTTTTTCTTTGGGTGGAAGCCAGGAAAGCAAAACGAAACTCGAAAACCTAAAATGTGAAAACCAACCCAACCGGAGTCCTTAATATGAATAGATTAATAAACCAACAAAATTAAAGTGTTTATTTAATTAAATTTTAAAATAAAATTTAACATTAATTTGATTAAAAATTAATTTTATACTAATAATAATAGATTAAAAAACAAATTAAGGGACTCCGGTTGGATTTTTGGTGTAAAGAGTTGGAGTTGGATTCTAATTTGATTCAACTTCTTTTTATTAAGATTTGAATTTGAATTAAAATTAAATTATTTGACTTTCATATTCAATTTGAAGCTTAATTATTTGTACTTGTGTCCTAGCTCTTGAGCTAATCAACTACTCTAATCTAGTATTTATTTAACTAAATTATTAAATTATACTTGGTAGGTTTAAGATAACAACATGTTGAAAATAATTTAAAATTATTTTTATTAAAAATATAAAAAAGTTATACAGATTATTATCTAGTATGTTGATAATGAAAAATATTTCATAAACGAAATATTACTTTTATCATAAATTTTTATTTGAAATTTAATGTTTAAGCATTAAGAATTTTAGAATTTAAGATTTAAAGTTTAAAATTTACAACTTAGGAGTTTGCAAAATACAATTCCATGGGAGAATTCATCGACTACATAGATAAAAGTTAACACAGACGGAATAAGGGATCAAAGTGATAGGTACGCGGCATGCGGTGGAGCGATTAGAGACAGTAACAGAAATTGGGTTCTCGGCTTCGCTAGAAGTGTAGGAATCTGCTCGGTGCAGGAGGCCGAGCTTTGGGGGTATGAAGGTTTGTTGCATGCATCATGTCTAGGAGCAAGGAAGGTGATCCTCGAGATCAACAGTGTTGATGCATACCGGAGACTGACTAAGAATTTAAAGGACACCTTCTGCTCTCCAACATATCCGAGAGCTGTTGGGTAGACCCTGGGCGATACCATTATCATAGATACGACGAGAAATGAACAAACTTACAGACAGCATAGTGAAGATGATTCAGACGGAAGACTTTGTGGGAAGGACATTTTCGACACCCCCGGAAGCTATTCGCAAAATTCTACAGGAGGAAGGGTTAGAGATATGCCCTTGATTGAGGGCAGTTAAGTTTTTAGTTTTAAGCACTTTATTTGTCCAAAAAAAAAATTGAACTAAAAAAATTTAAAATATATTTTTTTAAAAAAATATAAATATATATATATATATATATATATATATATATATATATATATATATTTGATAAATTTGAGGTTCAAAGATTTTTTGATTAAAGTTCATACACAAGTTAAAGTTCATTGATTAATGGGATAATTTACCCTAAATAAAACACGATAAACAATTTCAGAAATTCGAGTTTGACTTCAGAAAATTTAGCTCCATTATCGTGTGAAGAAGGCATGTCTTCACAGTTTTTGAATCCTTCTCCGATCAAATGGTTGGTGAGTTTGCTAACTATATATTAAGGGAACATGTAAAGTCGATAAACACAACCATTTTTCATAATTTATTTGATCGAAGTTCTCATAGGGAGGAAAAAGATTTTAAAAACCATGTCTCTTTGATTGCATTCAGGGAGCTTCGGGTTTGTTTTCACGACAGTAACAGCACTGGAAATCATCGGCAAACCTTGTTTAGCTGCGTACCGGCCGAGCCCTTGGGAAGACCGGCTCATGCGACCTTTTACGGTGACGAGCCTCCGAACTTCTAGGTACACATGCCTTATTCATACGCAAATTTTGCCTAAAATGTTATGATACGAACACAGCTGCACTGAGCACAACATTGTTCAACAATAGGTTTGATTGCGGGACATTTTACCAGATAAAGTGTGTTCAGTCCAAGTGGTGCTACCCCACGGTTAAATTCACTACTGTGACGGCAACCAGCCTGCGTCCTCCGAATTGGTCCGAGGATTCCAACGACGGTGGCCGGTGCAACCCTCCTTGGGTCCACTTCGACATGTCAAAGCCCGCTTTCATGAAAATCGCTCAGTGGAAGGCCGGCATTGTCCCCATCATGTAACGCAGGTACGTTTTTGAAATAGCAACTAGCAGAGTGGCGTTACAATCGTTATTTTATGATCTCAGTTCTTTCATTTACCGATTGATCGCGATATTTGTTGCAGGGTACCGTGTGTGACACGAGGGGGGGATTCAATTTAAGTTCCAAGAAAACGGGTAGTGGTTGTTGGTGTATGTGATGAACGTAGGAGGAGGTGGTGACATTGCGAAAATGTGGGTTAAAGGAAGCAAAACAGGGTGGTTTAGCATAAGCCGTAACTGGGGAGCTTCGTATCAATCATTTGCAACTCTTAGAGGCCAATCTCTTTCTTTCAAGATCACTTCATACACAACCAAGGAGACCATCATATGTTGGAATGTTGCACCTGCAAATTGGAATCTTGGTCTGACTTACACCACAAATGTGAAATTCGGTTAATCCTCAACAACAATCCGGTTATTGATCCGACTCGATCTATACCCACTTTATTTCATATTAACTTTTCCTACACTCTTTTTACGAGAGCCGTCATTTTGTCTATGCGTACAATAATCAAACTCTTGTAACGATGATCATTTTGTTTTGATATGATAAAAACACCATATGCTCCAACAAAGCTCAAAAGATAAAAAGAAGGGAGAATGAAAGCAAACTTCAGCCCCTTTAACAATAAGGGATTTTACATTAATCCTTAGCCTATAATTCGAAGCAAAACAATGAGGTTTATAGCTATAACATGTTACTTATCACTATGTATTAATAACATACAGATCAAGATTGGATTACGCTTAAGGAGCTTCTCGTCACTGCGTCGAGTAGATCTTTCCTGCTTAAACGTGAAGAGAAAGCAAACAAGATCCAGTAGAAGAAGCTAAGAATGACCCTATTGCAAGGAAGATGAAAAAAATGAAGAACAAACTTTATGAATATAAGCCCTCAAAGAACCGCCTAGGATCTGGATTCAATCTCTCATTTAGTATAAGCAATCGCTCTGTATGCACATGATATATGCTACAAGAAGGGGGTTTAAATTGTAGGATTTCGCCTTACCAGGGGTTTATGGTATGAGAAATCTACAATCTATTCTTTCCAAAATGAAGCAGCTAGCGAGCATTATGTTCCTGATGACAACCAACCTGCAAATTGTAGGTGAAGACATTTTTGCTTGTCTATCTCCAGTTTTCGAGTATCGTATACCTTAATTTCCTCAACTCATCGGTATTTCATTCAGCTTGGTCGACCTACAGTCGACACCAAAGTATTTGGAAACACGGCACAATTACAAGGTAAATAACTATTGGACCAAACTTTACCTGATCCTTTAAATCACGCTTAAGCCTCAGAATGTCGTTCAACGTTACAACTTCTCTCAACATCCGTTTTTGTTTCAATCTTTTTCCACTGTTCAAAGGCCGAGTGCTTTCAAACACTAGATCGACAACATAATATTTAAAGCGACAACATAAATACAACTCAAACGATTCTTAGATCATATTTTATCATATCTCAATCAACAGGTTAACTGACGAGTTTGAAACATATGAAAAGTCCGATGATTATTTTGTAGCATTTCTTAGTTGGAGACTCAATAAAACAATTCCCTATAATTTAGATACCCTTTGCATACTTTACCTTATTTTTGTATTAATCTTATAGAATATTAATATAAATAATAAACGCAACCCTTAATATTTATATAATATAATATATTAATTTTAATATTATTTTTTTAAAAAATTAACGCATAGTTTACACATTGTGTAAATATTAAGACTAAATTTGTTAAAAAAATTATAACTAATATTAAATTAACTAGATGTATAAATATTAAAAATTAAATTTGTTGTTATATCAATCAAAATTATATTAAATTATCATGGTTGCTCACTTTCAAAATTGTCATAAATTGTTCCTCATTTTAGAAGGATCAATTTGCTCAATTTTAAAATTATAAGGACTCAAGAGGATTTTTTATGTTTGCAAAAAAAATTATAGACCTCGCATGCAGTCAATTGACCATCCCCTTTCCTCGATTCAACTGTTTAAAACGAAACACAGAGCCGGCATTTGTGTTGCATCATATGTGTTTCAAGCTTAAATCAAACATAAATAGTCCAAGACTCATTTTGATAATCTCCCTATCCTTTATGCTTGTACGGAAGTTTCAAATTTCATAGGAGCACAGGAAGAAAAGCGAGAGAACAAAAAGTACGTGATGTGAAGTCTAATACCCGCACGAATGCACCAACTCGAATAGTATACATCAACACGCCGAGGTGTGCTTTTTCTCGGAACAAAGGCACATGGTACTCCCTGAAATGTGAAGTAACATGCTACGAGTTAAACTTCTGTGCATCGAAAACGACAAAACAAAGTTGATTAACATGATGCTTCCATGGCATGCAATGTTATAGTCACCTGTCTATTATTAGGTTGATAACACTCGGTTGAATTGAACCATCAAATTCATAAAAGAATGTCAATTCACCCAAGTTATTTTATCAGTTAATGCAACTCAAAGCTTAGGAAATAATCTAAACATCGGTTGCAAAACAGAGATATTTCTCACAATAAAAGCTGTAAGGAAACATCGTACCATTAGACTATGGAATAGGGGATTACCTTAGTAACACAGTAATACAACACTCCAGACTCCCAAATTGGCCGGCCTATCACATATTCTCGGTCACTACAGAAGAAAGGAAACTGCAACAAGAAAGCACGCTTTAAAAACACAATGTTCCAATACAATTAAAATCAAAAAAGAAAAAAGGAACCAATAGAAAAGTTTTACGAACCTTGCGAACCCAGTGGACCACCATGGTTCCAGTGGTGGGATACTCCTCCATAGTTGCAGCACTAGCAAGCATCTTATCCCACTTTGGTCGAAATTGATCATCCCAAAAGAGATCCCTCACCATCTCGGGAGTGGCATCTTCGAAAACAGTCCGGCTACGATATTCTGTAGGTCCAGCCTACGTGAACAAAAAAAAGCATAATTTGGTCGATCAAATGAATTACCAAACAGATGCAAAACAACAAGGCAAGCAAATTTATAAACCGGTTTCGATAATTCGATTTACTGGTTGAAATGGATTTAACTATACAAGAGCACAAAAAGTTACCTCAAGATCTCTTTGCCAAACTTGATAATACATAGTTTGAGTAAGAGCAATCCATCATATGAATCCAAGCAGGGCCTCCATCTTTTTCTTCAACTAAATTGATCAAATGTTCTAAATCATCTTTTGTCAAAAAACTAGTTTTTCCCTTCGAAATCTGTGATGAACTGCCCCCAATTACAAAATATATATATATTAGCAATTAGTAAATCCAAAGACAAACCCAATTCTATACCAATTGTTATCCAGCTAAAAATTATTCGAAAAGTGAAATCAGGTGGTGAAATTACAAACCTGGGATTGGAATCAAGGGTAGGTGGCAAAACAAAAGAATCCTTTTGAATCCCATCATCTGAAATCCAAGAGATGCAACTGGGCAACTGAGACTTGATCGAATTCAAGCTTGAAATGAAACCAAAACTTGTAGATGAAGAATCTGAAGGCGCTGGAGTTGAATCCTCTGAACCAGAACAATCAATCAACATTCCTCTGCCTATATTTGCCCACTTCGGCTTCCATGCCCATCCCACTAAAACACCGACCATTACAGCGACCCATAACGGAGCCATAAAGATCATTAACTCGCTCAAAACATCCCCAATTGTGGGCTTCCTTAGAATCTCCAAAAAAACTGAACCCGAAGCCATCTTAAAGCGCTGCAATCTCTCGACGGTTAGTTCGAAGAAATGAAATGAAATCAGGAAACAAAGACAACAAGGCGCTGAATAGATTACGGATAAGGATTTCGAGAAAATTAGGAAACAAATTAAATACTGACAATTAATCGGTTTATCTACGTTTCTACAATTAATTAAATCATGTCTCTGACAGAAGGGGTTCTAAGATTTGGCTAAGAAGCGTAGAAACAACGGGGAAATAATTGGCAATTGTTGGGTTCTAAATGGGCAAAAAAAAAAAGATAAAAATTATTGAAAAAAAGTGTTTTTTGGGGGTTATTTTAATCTTTTTTTAACAAATGCTTTCTGGTTGGTTAGGGTATTTAGTTGCCGCCTGCTCCCGATGCTCTGTTGGTGTAGACGCGGGCACGTGCTCTGTTTTCCTTTTTATATTGGCTTAGAGAACTGAGACGTTTCTTGTATAATTGTACGCTTTATTTATAGCGACGAGATTTCTCATTCTCGTCGCCGCGTCCCCTCTTTCACGTTCGCTGACATTTTATTCACTCATTTTACTTTTGAATTTTTCTACAACTCGCTTTTACTTTACTTCTTCAACGTTATTATAATGGAAGTTTCGTCATTCAACTTTTTTCTTATTTTTATTTTAATCATTAAATATTTAATATTAATTATTATTTTATTTTAAAAATTAAAAATATTTTAAATACATCTAGTTCATTGTTAAATGTCACTACACGCTTAAATGTATTATGTTATAATATGATATGTCATAATTTTTAACTAATTTTAGGTCAAAATGCATGAAAAAGAAAAAAGGTAATAGCCGACTACATGAAACTATTATCATTGTGGGGCAAATGTCAATTCACCAAACTACGTTTGCATGTGCTATATATGCTTTTTGCTATTAGGTACCGGCGGTTTGGCCGGTGTAGGTTCTCTCCTCTATAGGGCATCGGCGGTTTGGCCGGTAAAGAGTTTCTCCCCTATTAGACATAGTGGTTTAATCGATAAACGGACTCTATAGTGTAGATTATCTATGATCGATTCTAATAATTAATAATATCAATTAAAATTTAAGTTAATATTCATGGTTGTTATAACACAAATTTAATTGATAATTTATAAATCTCATTACAGTAAGGCAGCTGCTGGCGGGTTGTTACGCGATTCGGAGGGGAGCTGGATTTATGGTTTCTCTCGTAGCTTGGGAAGATGTTCAATCCTCGTGGCTGAACTTTGGGCTGTTTATGATTTATTATTGCATGCTTGGAGGCTGGGGTTTAGACAAATCGAGTTGGAAACGGATAATCTTGAGGTTACAAAGCTATGGAATAATTGTTGTGAAGCTTTAATCGGAAACGCACTGGTTGAGGCTATCTTTGAGCTCCAGAGTCATGATTGGAATATTAAGATTCTACATATACGTCGTGAACAGAACAAAGCTGCGGACTACCTAGCTGCCATGAGTCGAGGTGCTCCTATTGGCTTTGTCGATTTTTCAGATCTTCCGATGGAACTGGCTTCTATATTGTAGGAAGATTGCTCTATTACTAGTTAAGCTCTAGTTTAATCTGTTTTACCAAAAAAAAAAGTCTTTAGAAGTTACATATTTTTTATACTACGAGATGATTATAAGATAATATATTTTCGAAAGATTTAATTAATTTATATTTTAAAAAATAGAAAATGTAAAATTTGAGGGATATTACATTTTAAAGAAGTTTTGAAGATACAAAATAAAGAAATGAGCCCAAGAGTATAGTTTGATCGTGAGAGAAACCCAGCTCCAATTTCAATCCAATTTCAACTCAAACTGAAGCCCAATTGAAGATTAGATTGAAGTTTTTGGAGATAGAAATTATGGGTTTTATCCGAAAGGATTTATACCTCTTCCTCCTCCCGAGTTTTTGCTTTCTCTTTCAACTCACCTCCTCCAATGGCATCTTCGTTATCCACTTTCCATCATCTCACCTCTTCGTTTCCCCCTCGAAACATCGACAATGGAAAGCTTTCCAGTTCTCTTTGTCCTCCACCCATCAAATTATCTTCAAACACCAGCGTTTCTCTCAATTTCCTCGATAGAAAATTCTCCTCGCTCATCTCTTCAACTCCAAGGTTCTTGACTGTCATCGCCATGGTTCCTCCTAAACCCGGCGGCAAATCCAAGAAAGGTTTTGAAAATTGTTTAATTTCTTTCATTACATTCGATATCGAGTCCTGAATTCCCTGACATTTTACGCCTTTTTCCGTGTTTTTGCAGTGGTTGGGGTGATAAAATTGGCTCTCGAAGCAGGTAAGGCGACACCGGCGCCGCCTGTAGGACCGGCGCTCGGAGCAAAGGGTGTGAATATTATGGCCTTTTGTAAGGATTACAATGCTAGAACTGCTGATAAAGCTGGTTATGTTATCCCTGTCGAAATTACTGTCTACGATGTGGGTTTTTCTTCTCTCTCTCTCTCTCTCTCTTTTCATTTTCTTTCTTGATTTCTTAAGTTTTCTTGAACAATAATGGATGTTTGTTTTTAATTGCTTTCCAGGATAAAAGCTTCACTTTCATTCTAAAGACACCTCCTGCTTCAGTTTTGTTACTTAAGGCAGCAGGTATATATACTTCTTTGCTATATCACTTACTTGTATGTTCTTTACATGATGTGATTTGATGTTTTTATGTTGGGGATAATTCCATGTGCTCTACTTAAGCATTGTCCTTTTTTTTCCCCATTTGGTACGCTTGAGTTTAGGTCTTGTTCAAGGTAAATAATGAAATTGAAGTAATCGAAGCAAAGTTTGTTCTTTTCGGGGTAGGAAGCATCCAGTATTTTCGATACATATGCTTGTGTGCTTACTTGTTGCAAGTTGTTGGCAATGATTGCACAATGATTTGTTCTCGGTGCTTTAGTTATGCATGGTTCTTTGGCGTTCGATTCACTGCACTGGGTTGAATAGCATTTAGCAGATTTGTTGAGAACTTAGGTTCATCATGGAGTTGTTTCATAAGAGACAAGAAGGAAAAGAAAAGATCATTGAATGAAAAAGAAGCAGAAATCGAATTTTTTAGATAGCAACAGGGATGTTGTATGCACAATGAAAAGTTCAAATGTGCAGATGTCGGTTGTCTATGTTGCTCCGACTCTTCTTCTTCAAGTACCCGTGTTAGATTGTCTGACATATTCTAGACATATGAGTATGGAAATATAACTCTCTAAGGACTCTCAAAATACATGAAAATTACCTTGGTCGGAATCATACATGTTTCCGATATTCCAACTCAAGTTTAAGTAACATAGGTTGTTGTTATGATAAAATTTATAATTCAGTCCTCGTTTATGTGTAGCTAGATGTGTTTGCATGTTGGAATCAAAAGTATTTTGTGCCATTTGCTGGACTTTTTTTTTGTATGAAGAATTCTTCCTTGGGGATCATGCCTTGTGTAGATATCACCAATCTTGTCCCTCTGAGTAAATCGTGTTCCCTTGGTCTTTGCGGATTGATATACACCATCAGTCTAATGCACTATTTGCATTGTGTTGATTCTTTACTTGTCAATGGATATATCCTCATTCTCCGGCCCTAACAACCACCACATTTATGAAGTTTAACAACCTTGTCCTGAGACCACGTAGCTGATTACATGCATAAGTAACTTGTGCATAGAAATGAGCATGTTAGAAACAAGTTGTGGTTGATTAAAGAAACAGGGAGAACAATTTTTGGTTGCCATGTGTTTACCATTCTTTGAATGCAATTTGAATATATTTTATGGTGTTCTAGGAGCGGAGAGAGGTTCCAAGGACCCGAAACAAGAGAAAGTGGGGAAGATATCGATAGATCAATTACGTGCTATCGCTACTGAAAAGCTACCTGATCTGAATTGTACGACCATCGAATCGGCTATGAGAATTATTGCCGGGACTGCAGCTAATATGGGAATCGACATCGATCCACCTGTTCTTGAACCAAAAAAGAAAGAAATACTCGTCTAGATGTAGTTGCCTACTTCGTTATCTGTATCAATATCTACTAGTACTTGTTGCCCCATTTTGCCATTTCACTCCACAAGAGTAAGAAATTCATTAGAAATCCCGGATGTAGATTTTGATACATGTTTGTATCATATTTTAATTATTTTTTCGTATCGTATCATGTCATATGATCGATGATTATTGGGTTCAAGCTCGAATATTCTTTTGTATAGCATCGCCATATAGTCGACTATTTTAACACGTTAGATCCAAATTGTATATATAATTGATGCATGCATATTTCATATTTAAAATTTATTCACATCTGAATTGATGGATAGATTAACACATAATGATCTAATTGATATGATTTGAAATTTGTCTATGTTAAAACTGACAGATAAACTGACACTGAATGAACTAATCGGTATCCTATTATATTTTAAGGCTCAATTATAATGTTTTTGAAGTTTGAGAGTCAATTTAGAATTTATGTTATAATTCAAGAACATCTACCCATTAAGCTTAAATATTAATGTGTTTTCTCATATTTAAATTGAATCTTTTAATAATCCTATAATATTTCAATTACAAAAAATATCAATGATGTTATAATAAGTGTTAAAATTTAATAGTCATTTTGATAAAATTTAATGATTATTTTGTAACTTGTAAAAAATCATTGGTTAAAATGAACATTTGAATATAGTTGAATTATCTGTAATGTACTTAACCCAATAACAAATTGTGTAAATTTACAATTCCTCTATAGAGCCCATTACAAATGAAGATTTTGGACTTAAACTTGTAATATTAAAGAAAGCAGCCCATCTACGTAATTAGGTATGTAGACTGCATCATGTATCATTCTTACATTTCTATATAACACGTCTCAGCTAGGTTTAGGGTTTTCTTCAATCTGTTTCGAAGCCGCCTATTAGAGAGCAGAGAAAGGAAAGCGTGGAATAGCAGAAATGAAGACCATACTCTCCTCCGAGACAATGGACATCCCCGACGGGGTTAGCATTAAGGTTAAGGCGAAGATGATCGAGGTTGAAGGTCCAAGGGGTAAGCTCACTCGCAACTTCAAGCACCTCAACCTCGACTTCCATCTCATCAAGGACGAAGAGACCGGCAAGCGAAAGCTAAGGATCGAGGCTTGGTTCGGCTCCAGGAAGACGAGCGCCGCCATCCGCACGGCCCTCAGCCACGTTGAGAATCTCATCACCGGCGTCACTAAGGGATACCGTTACAAGATGAGGTTCGTCTACGCTCACTTTCCGATCAACGCTTCCATCACTAATGGCAACAAGTCCATCGAGATCCGCAACTTCCTTGGCGAGAAGAAGGTCTCTCTCACACACACTTTCACATTCCTTCCTTTCTTAACGTATATTTCTTCCTGCTTATATTTATGTTGAATTAGAATCTGATTGTTACTGGTAATTTTAGTAGAATCTGATTCTTCATTTTGATTACAAATAATTTAATGTTGAATGTTTGCCTAGTCTAGCGTATAAATGTGCTGAAATCATAATTTCATGCTAATTCATGTAAATCATGTTAAAATTCCTTGTGTGCCACATCTGTTGTTTGTTATATGTTGCAAAGCATGATTCTGACTTCTGATTTCATTGACTGATGTATGAAATACCAGCTGTTGGTTTTGCTTTTATACCAAGCTGCCAATTCGAGGGTTTAAGGAACCAAATGTTAACTGCTTCTACTCTTGAATTGTCATGCTATTATTGTTTTAAGAGTCATGTGTTTATTTTTATTTATATGATGTCATATTAATATGGCTGCTCGTCTTCTATTGGTAAACAGGTTCGAAAGGTGGATATGTTGGAAGGGGTCTCCATTGTGAGATCTGAGAAGGTTAAGGATGAGATTGTTTTGGATGGTAATGATGTCGAACTTGTTTCCCGATCTGCAGCGTTGATAAACCAGGTACTTATTCATCTATGCTATTCAAACATCAACTGCTCGCCTTCTGCATAATTGCTGCTTTTATAATCATAATGTTTGACCTTTATTTTGAACAGAAATGCCATGTGAAGAACAAGGATATTAGAAAGTTCCTTGATGGTATCTATGTTAGTGAGAAGGGCAGGATTGCTGAGGAGGAATGATGGTTGTCTCCACGAGTTATAGTTGTAGCGCTGCGTTATTTTTAAGTGGTCTTGGGACTTTGGTTTTTGTTCTGTCTTTCCTTTTTTCCATGAATTGCAGCTGGTGCGGAGTACAAGGATGTTATCTTTATTTGTTGTGTGGAGAATTTTGGATCTGTTTGATCTTTAGTACTCTAATTGTGGTCCTCATTTCAAGTTTTGTGTTGGTTAATAGAATGAATTTCATTTTCGGCGACTATGTGCAAAGTCTTATTGTTGTTGGAAATTCGGATGTGGATTTTTGAAGTTCAATTAGCTTGACAGTGAGCTTGAATCTAACGCAGGGTCAAATTCAATGCAGTTTAGCTGCAAAAGATGCTACTGGTAAGTTGATCTTATTGATTATTTTGTGAATTTTAAAATTTAGTGGTTAAAACAATAATTTGAGTAATAATCCAATTTTTGAAAAAAAAATGTCTTTATTATTTTGTATTCAATTAAAATTTTAGAATAAAAATAAAATTAATTAAATTCTTTGACTGATTTTGATAATTAGATTTTAATAGTTGAGATTTATTATCATGTGATTGTGGTTACATAAAACCCCCGTCTTAGTTTTTGTTTATGGGCATGAGATTTTAGTCAATAATCAGGAACAGTGTCAGATTTGGTTGATGTGGATATAGTATGATGAATTTCGTGCTCACTTGGTTGTTTGGCTGGGTTTTCAACGCATTACTCTCCTACAATTTTAATCTGTATATGGTCCGAAGCCTCTCTCATGCCAGTAATTGCACAACTGGAAAAGACCATCTCTGATGATACAAGTTAATAGCAGATTACTGTGTCTTTACTACAAGATTTATCATTATTTTGTTCCAACCTCACAAAAGGAGATGATTGGAATAAACAACTTTGAAATATAGTTTGCTGCAAATCGGTATAAAACTCCTAGACAAGTAATAAAATCCTGCAGCAAAAGAACCCCAAATATGTACTATCAAGAGAGGAAGGAGAAAGAAGGGTGGAACCTATATATTTCATTGGTTCAGGGAGGGGATAAGAGTAGTAGCCAAATCGTACATTATGTATTTGTTTGTGACAGAAAAATAATACAATTTAAAGTATTAATTTTTCATACAAACTAAATTAATCTGAATAGAATCTTTTCAACAAAAACCACTCAACTATTATGGTTTCTATTTAATAAAAATTGAATTCAATATTTATCTTTAACTAAATTTAAATTTTAAAATTAAAATGAAATTAATTTCAAGGCTTGGTTTTTTTATAATAATTAGTATTTATTTACAATAAAGTATATTAAAAATTAAATTCTTATCCTCAATGAATGATTTAATATTTCATCCGAATAGATTAAGTATGAACCACTTACGCTCTTGATTCGTAAGTTTGTTAATACAAGGGAGTAATATTTGAAGAGAAAAAAAACTAGTATTGAATGTTAAAAACGTACGGTATAGAGACGAGCAACCAAAGCTTGCTATGGTTCCCGTCCCGGTAACACTGGTCGAGAACCGTCATTGACGCATTGACGGATAGTTTCTGCCGGTGTCGGCGACGGAGGAAGACAACTACAACGGCAAGTGGGACAAGAGGAGTTCGAAGCCAACCACTGCTGAATACATTGCACATGGAAACCATGTTTACATTTCACCAACACTTGAATCCCATCGCCCTCCGCGAATTCCGACAAGCAAATTGCACATTCGGGTTCACCCTCCGCTCCGGCGAGCTTCATCCCGGCCGAATACACCACAGTTGGAGCCGCCATCATGCGTGCTATACCCGCCTCCGGGACAGGTTTTCTCTCCTCGAGCTCTTGCTGGGTTAGGGGAAGGCCGAAACGCCGAGAGCGGCGTCCTCCTCCTCCACCGCGTAAGAAACAACGGATGACGGCGTTGAGAACCACGGAGCAGATTAAAGCACATAAGAGAATGATTAAGACCATGGCTACGTTATCTTGAAAATCATTTGCGTTTGTGTAGGGCTGCCACCTGCAAATGTGAGGACTACACGTGGAATTCGAAGTGGAAGACATATCCGGCGATTGGCCGGAAGAAACCGGTGGAGCCGGCGACGGCGAAGGCCGCATTTGATTGTTTTGGGTTGGAGATTTAGTGTTTTGGGGGAGAATAATTTTGGCGTGTGTGAAGGAATGGAGATGTTTATTTATAGGGATATTTAACTAGGCAGGGAAGAAACGCATACGTGCATCAAGGGTTAACAATTTCTTCTCATATCTTAATTATTTCATCTTTTACTTACTCTCACATAAAATTGTTAAAATTATTCTAATCATGGCATCCTAAACGAAGAAAATAAGATTAAAAGAATCATCTTATAGCAAAAAAAAAAATTGTACTATTTAATTCAAATTAATCTATTAATAAATTAAATATTAAAATAATTAAATTCAATAAATACAAAATACAAAAAAAAAATCATAATATATAAATATGTAAAATTAAATTAATCAATGATCTCGCCGCTATTCATCAATTGGTGTTTCAAACTTCATTAATTCTATAATTAAATCATTGTCATCTCTAAACTTTTAACCGAATTATCATGTGATGCCTTGACACCGTGAGAGAAGTACTGGTGAACACTCTATGTCTAAAATGATCTTTAGATCATGCCCTCTTCCTTTTGAGATCTTTTTAAAATTTACTTGAAAATAGAGAGATAAAATCTCAAATATTTCTCGATAACGACTCCCGAAAATATAATACATGTTTGTTAGGTGTTTTGACCGATTACTTAATTAATATATCTTTTATATGATATACAATATTTTCTCTAGCCTTTTAGTGTGATCCAAAATTTTTCATTAACAGTGGATAGAATATTATTCTAAATGAATTAATTTTTAATATATTTTATAAAATGATAATCAATCTCATGTACTAAATTGTTGTTAAAATTTCCATATCCTTATGAATTATTTAGATGTATGCAACATATGATGATGGGCTCCATTGTGCATGACTCTCTCTCTCTCTCTCTCAATCATATGAGCCTTAATTAACCAAAAGGGTCGCTTTTGCAATTTCCCCACAGATGTGCTTCTCTGACAGCCTTTGACGAAGGGGTCACAATCTAACAGCTGAAGGTGAGTGACCAACACTTGTTTAATTCATCCAGGACGCAAAGCAAGATTAAATATTAAAAATAAATAAATTTAGGTATTTATCATGGTTTTCAGAATCGGACCGGTTAGTGAATCGATTATGCTATCGGTTTACTGGTTCAACCGGTCGAACCGGCTCGACCGGTCGGAAGAACCAGACGACGTCATAATTATTTAAAAAATTAAATAAAAATACCAAAAATATTTAATAAAAAATAATTTTTTATATCACAAGTCATATTCAAAGCAAGTCATAACGTATACAAGTTAAAAACCTTAAAATCAAGTGAAACAAAATGATTCAAATTAACTACAACATAATATTTAAGGTAAAACATATTAAATAATAAATATAATTATAATTAAAAAATAAATTTGGGGTTAAAAAAATCATAATAAAATGATATTGTTTGATTTAATTTTTTTAAAAAACAATCTCACATGGTTAAGAAACATAGAAGAGCATCCCAAAAGTCTAAAGAGTAAAAATATGAGAACAAAACAATCTCACATTGCTAAGAAACATAGAAGCGCATCACAACTAACTTCTATAAATAATAGAGGTAATTTGGCATTCAAAATCATAGAGCCTTTTGGTGAGCATTGAGTGAACTATTCTTTCACTTCAATCAAGCTCGAATTTTAGGCTTCAATCGAGCTTCTAATTTTTTTTGAGTTTAAGCCTTTTTGAGTTCAAGTTTCAATATTATATTTCGAGTTTGAGTTGAATTTAATAATTTTTAGCTTGTGAGTTTGAGTTGAGTTGAGCTTACTTTTAAAGTTTTCAAGTTCGAGTCGAGCTCAGCAATACTCGAGTTCGACTTGACTCGTTTAACAAACGACGTTGTTTGGTTTAACTTTTTTTTTAAAAAAAATAAAAAATAAAAATCCCGGGTTTTCCCAGTTTTTTCCGGTTTTCAGCCGGTCCGGTTTGAACGGTTCAGCGGTTCTGGCAGGTTCACTAATAGCGGTTCAACCGGTTTAGATTGAACCAGACTAAGCAACAGTTCCCGGTTGAACCGGTCGGTCCGGTCCAATTTTCAAAACAGAAGTATTTATAGATCTTAATATTGGATTCTTATAAATCGATGGTGTAAATACTTAATATATTTTTAAAAATTAATAATCTAATTCTTCTAATATTCAACTACGTCTCTAATTTATAAAGTTCTATGTCAAATAATTAAGAGTTACCTTTAAATAAATATTATATTATACTTAATAGGTAGTTGATTCGAAGTATGTGTGAAATTGGTGTTTGACCATTGAATCAATAGAATTGATAGTTCATGAGATAAATAATTGAATATAAAATAAATTATTTAAAATAATAAAAAAAAGGAGGATGAGTGAATGAGGTACAGCGATGAGTATTGTCATGGCAGTGGCCTTGGCTTTCAGACAAATGCGATTCTGTTCATCTCAATGTCCCTGCTCCAATGCATGTTCGCTACCTGCGCCAAATGCCGAGCTGTGTGTCTCTCTATAATTTATAACCAACAATTCTTTACGTTCAGTTTTTTAAATAACATTAAACATTTCAGTTTTAATTTAAATATTAATTTTATCAACACTTTAAAGTAAATTAAAAAATATTAATGTTATGATTAGTTTAAATTAAATTAATAATCATTAATATTATGAACAATTTAAAGTAAATTAATATGAATGGGTCGTTTTCATAACCATAGAATTTTTCTTGTGTGAAATTAGATCAAACAGGAACTGGATATTTTGACCCAACTCCGACATGAAAACATCGTCAAATTCCTTGGCTACTGCGATGATCAAGGTAGTTGCTTTGCTTTAACTCATTAGAAATGGAGAAAAAAAGAAAACGATTCGGTGTTTTTGATATTTTTTTGTTATTTTTTGTTTTACAGAGGAAGGTGCAATTGTGTTCGAGTACGTTCCGAATGAAAATTTGCAAGAGAAACTCCATGGAAACGAAAGGAAATTGCTTCCATGGAAGACTCGATTGAGCATAGCTTTTCAGCTTGCTGAAGCAATCGAGTTTTTGCACGACAAATGCAGTCTCCAGATTGTTCATGGCGATATTAAAGCTTCGAATATCTTGTTAGATGAGTGTTTCAACTACAAACTCTGCGATTTTGGGTCGGCGAAGATGGGATTTTCGTCGATGGTGGTGCCACCAAGGACGAAGCAGATAATGGTAGGCTCACCGGGGTACACTGACCCTCATTATTTGAGGACGGGTATTGCTTGCAAGAAGAACGATGTTTATAGTTTGGGTGTTGTTATTTTGGAGCTTGTGACCGGAATGGAAGCCTTCTGTCCCAAAAGGGGACAATTGTTGACTACGATGGTGTCGCCAAAGTTGAGAGAGATTGCTGATGGTGGTGTTGGGGTGGCTGGAATGGTGGATCTGAGGCTGGGCGGTGAGTTTGACTGGGAAGAGGCTAAAGTCATGCTTACAATTGCTGGACTTTGTCTTCAACAGTCGCCTACTGATAGGCCTTCTGCTGCAGAAATCATGCAGACGATGAAGGGTAAGATCAATTCCATTGATTCACGGTTGTCGCTGCCGTCACCAGCCAAAGGCCGTCATTGATTTATTCCATGGTGATGATCGTATTGAAATCAGTTTAGTGCCCCTTAGATTAGATGTGAATTTAACACATGTAATGCGAAATATCAAATCTTTAGAACAAACGATTTTTACTGCAAATTCAACAGATGAACTGGATTTTGAATGATTGTAAGTATAGTTTCCAGAAACGATACGAAATACAAGTTGAACATTATGAATACTCGAATTCGGATAACTCGACAGTTCAAACTCAAACTGAATTTGTGATTTTTTTCCTAGTCGAACTCGACGATCTTACGAGCACAAATATCTTGTTTACAGTATCTGCTACTAAAGGTAATGGCATGCTTCATTAACCCTCTTAAACTTGAGTCTTTATTAATGCTTTGGCTAGGAAAAAAAAGAAACAAGCTGCAAATAACTAATTACTGCATTCAACCTCATGAAACAAGAAGGAAATCGTTCATACTTATCCGATGTTTCGGTAAAACTAAAGTTAGAGCAAACCTGTTAATCCAAAGAAACAAAATAGAAAACATTTCACCACTTTCTTGTCGGTTTCAGATATACCGGAAATTCCCCTTTCGTTTGAACCGGCTCGATAATAAAACTTCACCCACGGCGCCCTTGCTTCTCTCTTGATGTTGGGTCCCTGAAGCAAAAGATTGAAATCAGAAGGTGAGATAGGATCCAACGGTGTCAAGGACAATAAATATAATTATCCTACATCGAAGATTCGAGTCAAACCTCTGAATATGGTCAAGAATAAGGAGCCTTGGTCCAGGGGGTATTTTCACATCCCTAAGAGCACTGAAACACATCATATGTCAATTTAAATGCCATCAGAATATATATGTATGTGTGTGTATAAACAGTGCATAAATTATTCATTAGAAAGTTAAAATAAAGATGAAAATAATACAACTGCTTGCCTATCAGTGAGCAAAGGCAATGTGATATCCGTTAACAAGCCTTTTTTGAAATTCTTCTCGTAGTTCTGAAGGCCGAGACTGTTTAACATGGATTTTGTTCTGGAATAATTAACATCCTCAACAGGTGGTTGTGAAAACTTTTGCCCCAACTAAATAATCACAAACAAAATAGCTGTCAGAAGATGTTATTCACATTCAGGTACAAGATTTGGTTCACAGGTAAATGCCGAACACAGATGTATTGAAATTTTCTAGTTTTTCCATGTATTTGGAGAGTCCTTGAATGGTCATATTCGCCATACGGATGTCCAGTATGCATCTGACATGGGAACTTTAAGCAATATGAAGAGTCGGAGTAAAAAAGCTGTTAGATATGACCTACAGGCCAGCAAGGGAATGTTTCAAAGCAGTAGCCATTCAGAAATTGAAAGGGGAAATTTTACTTGAAAAGCTCAAGGATGTAGACACTCTCAAGAACAAATGATTCCAAAATTTTAGCATACATGTTCACATCTTTTAGGTTTATGTACGATCTTTCTTGTTCACAGCTTGCAGAGACGATAATAATGCGGGGTGATTTAAAAATAAAAGAAGGATCCATAAGAGGCTAAGGAGATTATAAATCACCTGGAAAAGCCCTCCTTGCACAAGTGCAAAAAATAGACCAGAAGTGACCGCATTTGCAGCCTGATTCGGGCCGCCCATGCCGCTGACTAAAGAAAACATGGCCCCAGAACCAAAAGCTGCTGCCATGCTGCAAGATACAATAGTTATGTTAAACAACTGTCTAAACCTAAAGTAAAGGTCGATCAATTCAAAACAAGATGGTGAAGTCTACATTTATTTATTCAAACACCAAACTTGGATTGTTCATATAATATTCAGAAGACAGCACACAAACATTGAATAAATGCTCTCTGTTGATAATATTGAAGCTCTAACTTATGATAGATAGTGCAGAACGTCCGGTCAAAATGTTTGCATGCTTATTTCTATTCAATAATAATAATAATAACGATTGGACCATGATCTTAATACTTAGCATAGCTTGACACCGGATATTTTCCCAGCTAAACTAGAATGGAAGCCAAATATTCCTAAAAGGCAACAACCTTTAGAATTTCCAGGGAAATTCAAGAGAAAATTGCCTCCAAATTATAAACCTTCAACAAACTAGAGGGATAAGTGAGACATCATCCTTTCTCAAGACTCAAATACTCTGCTGAAGAATCTAACCATGCTGGTTTTAGACCAAAGCAAGGATAAAACACTCCTTTCTGACTGCTTTCAGAAAATAGGCAGTTATACGGTATACTATAACATTTATGTAGTCTGGAACAACCTTTTCGACCATAAAAATTTGGAAACCTAAAGCATGATTCGGCCTTAAAGAACAACAAGCTAGCTTTTCTCTGCATTTCAACTGGGATCACATTGAGGTTCAATACACAACCGATGACAAATAAAGAGTGAAAAACTGTTCTAGTAGTGTGTATGTTTTCAGAAACAAGTCCATTTATAGCATTATCTGCTCGCATATTTACCGGTTAATCATGCATATTGCACATATGCTACTATCTTGTACTCTGATTATGACTAGTAGCAATATCCTCCAGCCATAAACCAACATAAACCATGATTACAAAAAAATCACCTAGATTGAACATCCTCCTTTCCTCTCAATCTTTTCATAACACAAGATATGCCAGCATTGACACCCGTCATAACTGCAAAGTTGCGAGCTTGCACCAAGGGACTTCCTGATAGAGCCCGTAATCAATGTAAAAACATCTATCATATATTCTCCAAATCCATTTAGCGAACAATAAACCAGGTGCTGCTTAGAAAACCCTTAAGTGATTTTAAGTTGAAAACCAGTTCTTTCTAAACAACGAGAAATTTAATTTTAGTTCGCACCATTTAAGAACCCAATCCAAACCTAAATAACACAATCAACAATAAACCCCTGGATTCAAGGACCAGCAAATTAAACAGAGAGCATGAAACAACATAAAACCAACAACCGTGACTTTGGCTCTAAAAGTACCGAAGTTAAAGCTGATAATGAAAGCAAGTATAAAAACGAAGAGACCTGGGCTTGCTTGAACGGAGCCATGGCTTGAGGATTCATGGAAGCTTGAGGAGGAGTCAGAAGAGAGGAGGAAACATCGTTGGTGAGGGAACCCATTAAAGCACCGATAGCAGCGCCCTGAGCGGCGCCGGTGGTGGTTACCACGGCCGCCTCGACCGGAAAGGACTGCTTGGCTAGCCAAGCCCTGAACCCGTTCTCCATTTCCTTGAACTTGGATTGCAATTGTTCCAGAGGGTTTTGCTGGGGCATCAAACCAGGCACCGTGGCTCCTTGCTTTTCTTCTATTCGCCCCATTTCTTTCAGCTTTTTCTTCAGTGTATGATTTGATTCAGAGACTGGAAACCGGAATTCGTGTTGCTGGTGGTGGTGCCACCCTGATATTGCCGCCGAAAATGAATTTTGATATATTAAAGTAGTATCTTATTAGCCCGAAGTTTGCGAGTCAATTTGTGATTATATTTTGGTTAAATTACAACGAGGTTTATAAATGAGTTGGGTTGAGATTAAGTATTGTTGAGCTCGATTCGATTTAAAAGTTTAAAAAATTAAAATTTATCAAATTTGAATGAAATTTAAAATTAAAATTTGAAATCTCACTCGAGTTTGAAAAAACTTAAGCTTAAAATATTTTATACTTAATTTGATTGAAGTTTCAACATGAACTTAAACCTTACATAAAAACTTTATATTGCATTGAAAAATAATATATAAATGTTAATATTATTAATAATTTAATTTAAAAAATTAAAAATATTCTTTCTTGAGTTGCTCGCGAGTTTTTCGAGTCTACTATTAAGTAGTTTATTTCAACCCGTTAAGAACTCAAGTCGAATCCACTCAAATTAAGTATTGATCGAACTCTAATCGAGTCAAATTCGAGCATCTTACAATCTATCTTATCTCATTTATAATCCTAACTATAATTCATATCACTCAATTATATATTTGATAATGATTTGTATTCCTCTAAAAGTTATAAACAAATTACTTCGTCATTAGAATGAAACTGACCTCTAATATGATTCGGTATAATGACAGATAAAATACATCAATGCTAAGTCCATGTATCAAATAGAAGATTGTAGGTTCAACGGTAAGATACTGATTATCTTGATTTAAATTATATGATTAATTGATTTGCTTTAATAAAATATAATTTCATTAATAACAATTATAATTAACGAAAAATGCTCAAACATGTTATAATTCTATAATACGAATAAATCTCGACAAATTATAGTAATAAAAAGCGAAAAAAATATTTAAAAATGAATTCATATATTTTAAATATGCTTCACCTATGATTCAAATTAACATTAGACTTCTAGAGTTCTAAACTTACATACAAATGATGAAAGGTTTGATTGATATGTATGAAGTTTTACAATTAAGAGAACAAAATTGAAAGATTTAATACTAGAGGGATTAAATTGATATAATAATTATGATAGTGAACCTGACAATAAACGTTATCTGAAAAAAAAAATATTCTCGGACATTTGTTTGTTGTTTTTAAAAAATAATTTCCACGTGGCATGGTTAAATTAAATTTAAGAATTAAGCAATAATTTGAACCTAAGACCTGTAATTTGTAATCGAACAGCTAAGAACATAACCAGAAGTTTGATTTCCAACCAAACATGAAATCGTTCTAAATTAATTACTCTTAATTTCTAGCCATTAAACCAGATTTAAACAGTTTTAATTTTCCTTCAAAATGGTATTATCGGTTAATGAATTGTTTTGACGACAAAGATTTGACTCCCTTTATATATAGAGAGAGTTTCCTCCTCCATTGACATTCCCGTGAATCGTCTCAAAAGGTAAGAATTCGTTGCTTTCGGGGCAATGATTTAAGCCTGGAAAAACAAAATATTTTCATGGAATCTCAGCTTTTCTGAGAGAAAAAAAAAATAAAGAAGAAAGGAACATTACGCGAGCTTTCCCTTTTTCAACTTTGAAAAATAGAAAGGAAAGCTCGCTTTGTTTTGTTATTTTCCGGATTTTTTTGAAAAAAAAATCGGAATAAAAAAGATGATGACGTTGTTTTCGATCCAGTTCCATGAATCCGCATTGTCGCTGTTGTTGTTGTTGCTGGTAGTCGTTGTTCCTTTCTCTTCATCGTCTTCTTCTTATTCTTCTTTCGCCGTCGGATCGCAACGGAATTTCACGGGCATCTTGTTGCCGTCCGATGGAGCGGATGCGTGCGGTGTTTCGCCTTCTGCTCGGCGTTATTCGTGCCCGGTTAACTGCTTCAGGACGGATCCCGTTTGCGGCGACGACGGCGTTACGTATTGGTGCGGATGCGCCGACGCTCATTGCTCGGGGGCGAAGGTTGCCAAGATAGGGTTCTGTAACGCGGGTAATAACGGCGGCACCGGATCTTTCCCTTGTCAGGCTTTACTTTTGTTGCATATAGTTTGGCTCATTGTTCTAGGCTTCTCTGTTTTCTTTGGCCTAATCTGAAATTTTCTTCTTCTTTTTCGTGTTTGTTTTTAATTTTCTAAACAAGAAGACATCAATTTTCTTTTCAACCCCCAGCTCTCATAGTCACCGTTGATTCAGTTGAAGTTTATAAGATTCTTCCTTTTTCTTTCGCTTGATTCCTAACTATCATTTCACTCTTCTCATCTTACAATTTTTGTTATGCTAATACGGAATGAATCGAGATTGGATAATGAGAAGGCTTAGATAATTTAACCTTAATTTTCTGTTTAAATCATAAAAAAAATTTGTCTGTAGCTTACCGTACCATGCATATTGTATATAAGAAATATATATCAAGTGGCTCACGTAAAAGATAATGTTATTCTATCTAAAGATTTTGATTTTCGATAATTGCGTTTGTACGGTATGTGCATTGTCAAGTTTAAACATAACATGTAATTAATAATGCACCTCTCACCGGAATCAGGTCGCCAGAATCAAAATTCGATCTCATGATCTTCTATGTCAACCAAACACCGAGAAATATGAAACTGTATTACGTTTTCTAAGGTTCAAACTTCAAGTCCATTCACCTTGCTCTAATGAGAAGGAAGATAGCTCGAAACCAATTGTTACACACTTACACACGTCTTCTCCAGGATGTAAAAGGTGTAGAAGACGAAATCACCGTTGGCGACAATGCTCTGCTAATGGCATCATGGATAAACCCGAGGAGATGTCCATTTCCGAGTCGAGAATGAACAATGTTTTGAGGTTGAAGGGCGAGATTCCGGTTCGGGAAGAGGTTCCCCGTCTATGTTTATAGAGGCCCTCGGCTCGTGGATGGCGGAAGCCATTTGGTGTTAATCATGTCTATAGCTTTGGTTGACACATTGGAAGGTTTGTAATTTGATGATCTCTTTATATTAAATTTTGGTTATTGAACTATTAATCATACAAAGTGTTTAGAGTGTGCAATCCATCGATTCGATTTAAAATAATACTAAAACCAATTTAATAAAGTTTCGATAAAGCAATTTATCGAGTCGAGCAAAAATTTTGAGTTATTCAAGTTGACGAGTTATATTTTGTGACTCGAACTTAACTTGAAATTTTTTCAAGCCGAGTCAAGTTTAAGAAATTCGAGTCAAGTTATTCGAGTTTCTATACAAAATTATTATAATTATTTATAGTATTATGGTAAGGATTGATTCTAATTTTTTTGATTTTCTATAACCATATAAGATATATATATTTCTTCATATTCATTAAACAATATAATGTTATTTAATATATCAAATACAATCTAAAATTATAAAATATATTTACAATATTATATATATTTTTTAAAAATATATATATTGAGGATAAATTATTGTTGAGAGTATAAAAGAGTCAAGGAATTGATGAAAAGAAAGAATTTGCAAACAATTGCAATCAAAAGACCAAATTTAGTAAAATATAAAGTTAAGGGACTAAATAAAAAATAGAATATATTTTTACTAAAAAAATAAGAATTATAGTTACATAGGTATTCTATAGTGGTATAGGAATATGTGATTTAAATTTGGTAAAAAATATACTTAAAATGAAGGTGAATTGAAGAAATAAAGAAATAATGAAAAGTTGATAGATTAAATTGAAAAATAAAAATATTTTTATAAAAAGAGGAATTGACAACGTATATGTATTCTATGATAGATTAGGAGCACACGGTTCAAATTTAATAAAAAATGGACTTAAAATGAATGAGGAATTGAAAGAATACGAAAATCAGAGACTAAATCACAAAATTATCAGTTAAATTTTTGGTTTTTTGTGTAACTTGAAATTTCAAAATTCCAACTCGAATCGAAATCGAAAATCGGATCAATAATTCGAGTTGACTCGAAATTTAAAAAATCGATTTTTCGAATCGAGTCGAGTTTTGCTCACTCCTACTATATAGTATCAATTTAAATATAACTCTCAACCATTTGACATTGAGCGCTCACACTCCTAACATTCATAGTGCTTAAATCCGGAACCTCAATAACAATAATTCTTTTACCCTAAGATCATTTGATTAATAATTTTTTAATTGATAATACAAATAATATTTTTAAAAAATATTATTATATATTTTTAAATTTTATCTAATCAAATAAAAACATGACATTATTTAAATCCGAGTTAAAATTTTAATTATATAATTAGAAAAGACTGATTTCATTCTAAAAGAAACTCTCAATTGATTTCCGAATGATAATCCAAATAAATAAAAGTTTGTTTAAGATAATCAATCAAGTCCTTGCATGTAACACATTATTATTATAGTGTCTATTAATTACATGAAATAAAAGTAATAATCAACGTTAATAAAGTTTTACTTTATTAAATATTTAACTATAAAACTTCATTAAATATAATTTTTTCATGAATATTTAATTATTGTTTTTTATTTTTACTGATATTTTTATCATTAATTTTAAAAAATTATAACTTCTATTAAAAGATTATATATTTTTTAAAAGATTAGCGAATCTTAAATCAATAGATTTGATCAAATATTAATTTAACATATTAACAAATCATAAATCTACAGTTTTTTAAAAGATTATCATATCATAACTTCTTCTATATATATTTTGAAAAACGATTAATAAATACTATAAGATATTAATTATTATTTTCCTTTTTTCTATCTTGAAAACAAGACTATCATTAGTAACCAATACAAACTTCACTACTAAATTTATAGTTCTACCATGTAACAAACACTTGCAATCTTCCTTATATTTGAAGCTTTTACTCGTATGTGATCTCATTCAAGTAGAGAAAAATTTAAAGCTTTCTCTCATTCAAGGTGTGTCTCAGTTAAGTTTATGTAAATTTTGAACCATATTTTCCTTTGACTATGATGACGATGATGTTGAATTGCTGAAGTTATTCGGTTCGATTCTTGAATTCTTAAAATTGGGTTTTCGCCGTTTGCTTTTCGTCTCCGTCGATATTGTCAACAGTGTCCGATCATGGGATTTTTTGTTCTTCCAGAGGCTGAGCTTTTTTGTTTGGATTTTCGGATTTCAGTTTTTTTTTGTTTTCCCAGATAAAACAAGATTATGGCTATGGGATTCGAGTTTAACAGCGGGAACCTTTCCGGTGGAGAGTCTTCAAAGTTATCGTTTTTAACTCCGCCGGCGAATCCACTTGTTGGTTCGGGTGAACCTTTGAACCGGGTCGGAGTTAATACTTTTAATTCAACCGAACGATATTATCGATCCTCTCGGATGAGCTTGGACTCAATTCCTCCTCATCTTCATCAGCCAAATTTTAATGAGAGTTGGTCTGGCCTGAAATACGTGGCTCCATATTGTAACGGTGGCTTGTGGGAACCGGAGAGAACCAGGCTGGTTCAGCACGGTGAGGATTGGAGTATACCTTCATCCTCTATTCACATTGGTAATTTCAACCATGGTAACTTTTCTTATCAATTCTTTTAATTTACTGCCAGATTCATATTAATGCAGACCATTTTCTCCGAGTGAATTACTGCAGTTATGCTTATCGTCCTACTATCCTTTGTGCTGTTTGATTTTTGTTTTGTCTTGAATTGCAGGACCTCTTTCTCTAAAAAGATTGAAGACATGTGATAAAACTGATTCCCATGTACCTCTTACGAGTTTAGTATTGGATGATGGTCCTAAAAATTTGTTCAGGCCGAAATCTGGGACTAGTTTTGCTGATGTTAGTCCAGATGAGGTCAAGAAGGCCCTTGATTCTCTTGATTCAATTATTGCAAAGGAGAGATTTTTAGAGAGCTTTGAGCCTCTTTTTGTGCAGCAGCTTGTAAAGAAATCCGAAACAACTGACGAGTCGAATTGCAAAGATGGTCAAAATCGCATTATCAGCAATATAATAGAGGCAACGCATAACCTGTCAAAATGGCTTTTGTATCATTGTTCTAACGGGACATGTGAATTGAGTAAACAAGATCTCAAATCACTTGAAAAAATAAGTAACAATATTGATATGTGCATGTCAATAAATTTTGAACAAGAATTATTTAACGAGCTTCGTCAGGTATGATTGTTTTAAATGTTGAATTCTGTTTTTTCCGTTATGGTGCTTATTCTTTGTTAATTGCTGAGCCTAAATGATTGTTTTTCAGGGTATAAATATGGGATGCATGCAAGTAGAGGCTATTGAGATTTCGGGTCAAAAGCCAGGAGATGCATTGGACCATCCTGTTTGTAATCAGAATTCTGTTGGTAGCATAGATGCTGATGGAGGCTCGAGTTCCGAGCTAGATGATAGCTCAATATCAGACCAATCATCCCAGGACCTGTTGGCTAAGGAATTTGAAGAAAAGTTGAACATTGAGGAAAATGGCACTACAGACCCTTCTGGGATTACCAGCGATGGGGATCAATATTCTGCAGACTCGAGTTCCGAGTTAGATAAATTGGCAGCTGAATTAAATGCTAGCTCAATATCAGACCAGTCATTCCGAGATTCTTCTGGGATTACCAGCGATTGGAATCAACTTTGTGCAGGTTGGGATGACGACGACTCTTCGGATTGGGAATACGTGTCGATGGAGGAACATTTCTATTGATTGAAACAATAATATCATGTTAGGCTTCCTTCATTTCTGCTTGAATCGTGATGAATTCAATGTTCGTATGCTTTTTTGGGACACAAGTGCAATATCCAATACGATGGGTTTGATCCAATGTGTTGGGGATTGGAAGCCTGTGACGCAGGGAAAGATGTCAACATTGTTGCATTAAGATGCGAATAAAGTGTTGTATAGAATGTTATCAAAGAGTTTTAAGCAACAATTTGAATGTTGAGCTTGCTGGAAACAATCTTTGGCTTCTTATCTTTCTTTGCAAAGAACTCAAAATTGTAAAACTTTTAAATTCAAACTCAACTTGATGAATTGGCTCAAATAAATGAAAATTTTGTAATAAATATTTTTTAGAATCGGGTCTATTACTAGCCATTAGCATCAAGATGGGATAGAGATTTAATATGGAAGAGAAGTAAAGACAGGGTAGGCAAAAACCCTGTTTCATTAGCAAAAACCCAACTCTAAGCATGAGTTTCAGATTGGATTTCCAGAGTTTCTTCACAGCG